GTCTACCTTCTCAGATTATTTGCTCAGTGTAATGTAGTGAATTATTTACTGTCTTCTAGCCTTAGTGTTTTCCTGATGTTGTTGTTGTTGTTGTTGTTAAGTGCCGTCGAGTCGGTTCCGACCCATAGCGACCCTGTACAGGGTTTCCGAGGGTGTAAATCTTTATGGGAGTAGAAAGCCTCATCTTTCTCCCGCGGAGCAGCTGGTAGTTTCGAACCGCTGACCTTAAGGTTCGCAGCCCGATTCGTAACCACTACGCTACCAGAGCTCCTTAGTGTTTTCCTGATAGGTGTGAGTAAAAGAAGGTGGGAGAAGATACTTAAGGATCATACAATTCAGTTGTGAATGATTGTTAACAGAGTTCATCGTGATTACAAAAACTTGAAACTCTAACATGGGTATAAAACGAGTCATGTTAGAAGCAGGAGGGGGATCTCATTACCATGCTAGAAGAGCTAGAAGTACAGCTCATCATTTGGGCCCCGTGATCCCTGCACATTGAACTTCCTTGACCCAGGGACAGAAAGCTTTGACACTGGAGGAGTGGCAGAGCAGCAGTAGAACCAAGAGAACAAGTAAAGTTGAGTGGCTTTGAGCTAGCAGAGTGGGGTGTCTCCAGGCACTCAATTGGGGGAGCTTGGTTTGTTGACCAGTGGAGCTAGAGCCCAGTACCTGCAGGCTGAGGATATGGTAGAGGGATGCATCCTGGGGGCATTTATCAGGAGCCCTGAGAGAACTATGTAACATTGGCTAGGCAGAGAGAAGCCTGCCTGTGGGAGAGACTCTCGTGACTGGTACAACTATTTGAGTTTCTGATCTTGAAATGTAACATGTGAACTTCCCTAATAAACCTCTGAACTGTGAGTCTGGTGTCGGAGTTCTGTGTGGCCACTGTGTGGTCATGGTCCAGTTCATATGAATTATTGAAGCCAGTTCAGTAGAGTGTGCCATGGGAGGGACAGTTAGTGCTATTTCTTGCACTCAGCATACAGACTGAAGGAATCTGGTGAAAGGATGCAATGCCAGTGCATAGCTTTCCTGCTTTTAAGCCAATCCATATTCCCTTGTTGTTTGAATGACTGCCTCCTGGTCTATGCACAGGGTCCTCGTGAACACAATTAAGTGTTCTGGATTTTCTATTCTTTCCAATATCCATAGTGTATTGATTTCCTTTGCAGTCAATAAAACAAAGATAAATACCTTTCTGGTATTCTCTGCTATCAACTGCAACCCACCTGACATCAGCAGTATCTCTCATTCCACATCCTTTGCTGAATCCAGCTTGAATTTCTGGCACTTCCCTTTCAATATACTGCTGCAATCACTTGAACTATCTCCAGCAAAATTTTACTTATATGTCATATTAATGACATTGTTCGATTGCCTCCACATTCTTATCTTCTGGCACTTTATCAGACAGTGTCTGCTGCTATTAATAAGGTTTTCTCTGGTCATTTTTTCCCAGAAGTAGACCGCTACTTTTCCAGAAGTAGACTTTTATGATAATCTGGAAGCCTCACTAAAATTTGTCCACCATGTGTGACCCTGCTGGTATTTGAAATACCAGTGCATGGATACATGGCTTCCTACAACATAACCACACATAAACCACCACAAAATGACAGGAGTAAGCCTACAAGTAGGAACATAAGATAATTGAAAGTTTTATTCATTTTTATTTACTGTGAATTATTTTGGAGAGGAACAAGATGTTTGCAGTTTGGCAAAAAATAAAGCAAAGGTCCAAGGTACATTAATTAATATAGTTTCTTTGGGAAAGTGTTAATATGATGAAATAAACAAGATATGGATGACTTACAAAAGGTGTTAATGTTTCAGCTAAAGCATGGTGTGTGACTCCATTCTAAAATTTCATTGACAGAACTTAGATTCATTTAAAATGTATGACACAAGAAATGCCATAAAGGAACAATTGTTTCAGAAGACATTCCAGAACAACAGACTGGGTTGTGAAGATGGTATTAAGACATTTATATGGTGGGCAGTAACTGAAATGATAATAACCATGATAATTAGCTTTGATCCTGGCTCTGCTACTAAACAACTTGTGGCATTGACCAACTCTTACTAATCTGCATTTCACTTTCCTAATGTGTAAAATGAGAGGATTAAACCAAATGGTCCAAAGGAGGCGTTTTAGGATAAAAACTCTATAGCTATTCAAATTGACCCACCTCACAAGCAACAACCACAGTACTTAAGCAGTGTTTTCACCTGAAACCCTCTAATGAATTAAACTGAGTAAATCTGGTCATGGTCCAGTTCATATAATTATGTTTATCCAGTCTTTACTTAAATCTAAAGATTATAACCACCACTTGTCTGTCAGTTTGT